TTAAAAAAAAAATGTGATCAGCTACCAAAATTTTTTTTTTTTTTTTTTTTTTTGGTGCCAGATATCAAACTTGGGCCCTTGCACTTGCAAAGCAGACAGCAGAACCACTGAGCCAAATCCCTGGCCCTAAAAGTCTTGAAAAGTAACCCCAATCTTTCCTTAGATCTCTCTAAGGACTTTAGAGACCCAGTTCTTAATCCATAGCCACACTTCTTTAAATTCTTTCCTCTAGTCCTCCTCCCTATACTTAAGCCCTGCAGCTTCTGTCTTCTTATTCACAACTCGTCAGAACAGTAACAATGGAAATCAGTACTCCACTGTCTAGAAATTTGGCCTTTTTTCCTCCCTTTTTCACTTTCATCTCTCTGCTCATCCTGCCTCCAAAGATGGAAGATTTCTACTACTTCTAGTCTTGCCTTGACTGATTGGCAGACAGCCCTGGAGGAGGCAGCTGGGGTGAAAATTGAGAACATGTATATGGTAATGTGTGTGTTCCCATCCTCTTCTAATGAGGCTGTGTTCTTTTTATTAGGAAAAAAAGGAAACAAATACATTGCATTGCAAAATAGCCACAATTGCCGGCCGTGGTGGTGCACACCAGTAATTCCAGCACTCAGGAGGCCAAGGCAGAAGTTTAGCATGAGTTCAAGGCCTGCCTGGGCTACATAGTGTATTTAAGGCCAGCCTGAACTCACAACAAGCTAGACTGGAGAAAAAAGGGATGATGTATGGAACAAAATTTCAAAGAGGCAGAGAGCAGGATTCCAGCATACATGAAACCTTAATCAAAAGAAGGGACATATCTGAAGTAGATAAAGAAGAATAATGAGAAGGCAAAAATGTGTAAATAAACTAGTTTGAGATGATTTGGAAAAAAGAAGTGTCTCTTCTTGTCATCAGACTAAAAAGATCCTAGAATTGAGCTTTGTTTGACATGGCTGGATTTGTGTGCTCACAAGCCAGGGACAGACTTTCAAACATCTTTTCGGATCTGCAACTTCAGGTAAGTTGTCAACTTGCCCCTTGACTTGGAAGGAGTGGATAGAGGAGATAGTTACTTAACCTGGCCTGGATGTTTTCAGCCTGATAGGAAACCTCTTCTGTGTTTTGCAGACTTTATGCAAGGTAGAATTCAGAGTCGTGAAAAGACTTTAGGACTCATGAAGCCCAATCTTCTCTATGCCCCGGCATTTACATAATCGGATTTATTCCTCACATAAACCCTAGCTGAAGTATATTCTATGTATTATGGAGGGAAAAAGATTCTTCAAGAGGGGCACAGCTTGTCCAAGGCCCAGCCCTTGCTAAGGCAAGTGTCAGGGCCGCCTGGGGTCTCAGGTGGCCTACAGAGCACCAGGCTCAGTGGACAGCAGATACAGCCTGCCCAGGTCAGCCATACTTTGTTTCCAGGTTCCTCCAAGGTCAGAGCAGGTCTGCCGGGCCCTGTCCACTGTTACCCTGCGTACCTCCTGCTCCCTGAATTACTTCATCAAGATCTCATCCACTGTGGATTGGATTCACTCAGGACAATGAAGCAGGGCCATCTCTGTGCTATCAGTCTTTGCACAAAATCTGGGGGCTTCCTGTGCCAGGTAGAGGGGGAAAATTTGCCATCAATCCATTTCAAGGTACACATGAACTGGCTGAAGATTTACGTCCATGGCTTTCTCAGATTCTCTCAAAAGTGTAGAGTGTGTGATAGAAATGAATTGTGCCATCAAAATCTGTTCATGCCTTCATTTCTCCCACCTGAATGCTAGTTGGATTTTTTTCCTACCTGTTTTAGAAAGAGAAATACTAAACCACCAGGGAGAAAGAGAAATACTAAACCACACAGCAGAGGGGCTGTGTAGCCTGGCTCCTCCCCTACCCTTCATGATGGGGGCCACTAAGCTGTGTGAACAGGCTATGCACACAGGGCCCCTGTGAGCTGAACCCTGATGTCACCTTGGCCACACAGGAGCTCTGCCACTCCCGGTTGCCTGGTCCTAACTCACTGGGTGTCATCGAGTTCTGCAAGATGGAGACAATGTCTCCCTCCCAGGTTGGTATGAGAAAAAAGTGAGATTTGTGTGTAAGACAAACCCTGCCCAATGCCAGCCAGACGAGAGAGCAAGCAAAACCCGGTAAAATGGCAGGATCCTGCCATACCTCTGACCACTAAGGGCAGATGGTCCTTCCTGAGGGCAGACCCCCAACAAGGCTCTGACAGGGGAATACTGTTTACCCATAAGCCTCCTTGGCAGGGAGCATGCCTCTTTGAAGATGGCACTCCACCTGTCATGGTTCCTGGGCCTCACAGTCCAGACAAAACTGAGGCAGTGTTTTCGGGAAAGGTCCCAGGAGTTAACCTGTGGCTACTTCCAAAATGGCTACACTTAAGAAACAGGTTGGAACCTAGAAAGAGTTGAACATTTCATAGTCTCTGCCTTCATGAACATAATCCTGTTTGGATGGGGCCCATTCAAAATACGGCAAAGTAAGTTGAAAAAAATCATTGGGGAAAAAAACTTAGCCATTCAACGTAGACCTCGAAGAACAGCTCAGGCTGCTAGATCATACAAGCCGTGCAGGGAGGGGATGTCGGTAGCCCAGATTAAAAAAAAAGTTTAAAAAGGTGAAATTAATTTAATAATGATAATGATAATGATAAATATTTACAGCCAAAACTGTTACCATTTCAACCTATTATCAATATTTTGGAAAATTCTAAATGAGGTCATTTCACATTCTGTTTTTTGGCCGGGTGTTGTTGTTTTTCCCAGATGGAGTGTGAAATTCATCTGTGTACTGTGTATTTTACGCCCAGAACACAATTCTGGATGGGCCGCGTCTCGGCAAAAGGCGCAGGTGGAAGTCGGGTGGGGGAGCAAAGAGGAGGCCGCGCGGGCCAGGGGCGCAGGAAGCGGGTGCCCACCTTCCTCCGGAGGGCGTCGGCGGAGCGGCGTCGCGTGGTCAGCATCGCAGTGTAGCGCAGC